ACAGGGGGTACTTAAGTGTTAATATCACGGTGCCTATTGTTTACTTGTGGGTAACATATAACAGCAGATACCAACCGTCCGTGTAGGCGAAATACATCTTTTAGGATAACGAGTATATAATGGGTTCGGTTGTGGCTTCTCTATAAGGAGAGAGAACCTCCGATGAGCAACTTCAATTGGGCAGGGCTGAACTAGGATCTTGGACTCAAAACATGATAGGCATTTAATCTCGGAGGCAAGAGACACTGATGGATCTTCCTGGTGTCAAGACAGAGCGTGACACACCAAAAAGAAAAATTATTCTCAACCAAGATGGCGGAGACTTTTTTACTAAACCTTTCCGTTTCGAGAGATGCTGCAATTCACCCATTCTGATAGTAAAGAACAGCTTTTCCTGCAGAGAACTAGATATGACATAGGACGACCCTGTTCATACTCTCAATTCTGGCGTAGAGCCGATTATACACAGGGTCAAAGAAACAAAGGGTAGTTTTGGCTTTCAACGCCTGAACCAATAAACACCAGCATCACATACCTGCTTTAACTAAAGCCCACTGTAATTTACATATCGGTTTGATGTTCCATATGCTATCCATACTGTTCAGAGGCTATCCTGGAGTGTCGATAGACGCTTTGATGTTGTGCCACTTTCTGAATATATTATCAGGATCATACTTCTTCTTCAGCCCCCTAAGTCGTGCGAGGTTATGTCCAAAAATTTCCTCATTGGGCAAATCATTCCCTGCGATCTTGTTAGTTGAGATACTTTTTTGTGCCAGATGCGTCAAAATACCCGCATAGTTCGCATATACTCCTGTTCCGTGCCTGGTTATGTTATAATCGGGGCGGACTCGGATTCCTGCCCGTGTTCCAATCCGGCTCATCAGATCCGTCTGCAGCGAGTGTATTTTCTTGTCCAGATGAGAGTCGTGCCATCTAAATAGAGAACTGACATTATAATAAGGACCACGACTGGCAAACGCGGTGGCATCGTTATGAATCTTGGCGACCTGTGTATTTGGCAGAAGCTCAAAAAGTAATACGCTGTCCCTGGCCAGCGGAAAATCCCTCAAGATGCCGTCGAACTCGTGGTATATCGATACGACAAAATTAGGATCTAGAGGGAGAGTGATATTTGATCCTCGCAAGCTTTTCCGAGGACCCACTATTTCATCGACAGGAAACGTAATATCAAATCCCTCAAGGCTTCTGCGGCGCGACATTGTATCCATCGCGTTCAACATTCCGTTCAGACTATCGTAAGGAAGCATTTGTGTCTCGTTCACCATCGGGTCCAGTGAAAGCACCGGGGAAAAGAATTGTTCTGCATCAGTTTGATTCCCATTATAGAAGACAACCACCAAGATGGAGCGCTCGCCCATTGAGAGCGACGAGGTGAACCCAAACCAGAAGCCCTGCATACCATCGGTGAGAGTCTCAAATTGGTTCACAAAATCAACAATCCTGGGTAGTTTGTCCGCCGAGAAAAGAAGAGTCCCAGCAAATACAGGGTGGTTCTGTTGATGGGCTTGGAAACTCATCTCAATAGCCACTCCAAAACTCTGACCGGCACCTCTAATAGCCCAAAAGAGGTCCGAATGTTGCTCTTCTGAAGCGGTGACCACGCTGCCATCAGCAAGGATCATCTTCGCCGAGAGCAAATTGTCAATCGCCAGGCCATACTGGCCAGTCAACCATCCATAACCTCCTCCCAATGTTGCTCCTGCTGCCCCAATGTGGTTCAGTGTACTTCCGACAACTGCTAGCCTGTGCTGGGCTGCTGCAACGTCGATATCCTCCCACAGAGCCCCGCCTTGGGCAGTGAGTACTTGCGATACCGGATCCACGTGGACCCTTCGTAGATAGAAAAGGTCCAAGACGATACCTCCACGGGTCGTGGAGGCTCCGCTGGTGGAGTAGCCCCCGCCTCTGACTGCGAAGGGAATTTGATGGCATGCGGCAAAGCGGACGACTGCAGCTGCTTCGCCGGCGGATGTGACCCGAACTACGGCACCCTAAAAAGTATCAGTGATTGCATTTCAGTATCATTTTGGTAACGACAACTCACAACTTGTTCATCACAAGAATCACTCCATTGTTTAATGCCGTCACCGTATCCGTCACTTCCCCACGTCAAGATTTCGGCGGCCGTTCCTTCCAGTTCCTTTCTTAACCTCAGGATAGTAGATAATGGTAAGAAGGGCATAACGAAGATTGATCTGCATTTAATTATGGTAGACCGAACTGCTTGTTAGTCTCGTTGCGCGGGAGTGAGGTATATCAGATGATTTCGGAATGACGTGAGTGGCAAAAAGACCATCCCATGGTTCGTTCCCAGCCGTTGGTTAAGGAGGCGATATGACACTGAGGTTACAGTTTCTATGTGATGTGATGACAAAAATCGGAAATCAACCGTTCTCTGCTTGAAAATACATTTTCATTTTCATTTGTTTATTGAATTTCTTCATTTTTTTATTTTTTTCTGTTTTCCTGGCGAGTTCCTTTTGGAGTCGAAGCATAAATACTGCTTGAACTGGGCCCTATGACCTTTGCACCCTGCCCTTGTTATCCAACAATAATACCTCATTGAAAAATTCGCTGTGCTATTTAATTAAGAGACTGGTAGTTGATTAACTAGGCCTTTATGATTTTTATCAAATTAACAGGTCCTTGAATCCGGTAAGGGGGCTTATTGTACGTGGGTTATGATTGTGTATGACTGTTGCTCAAGAGTTCCGTGGGATGGCTGACAAATGACGTAGCGATGACAGGTTTTTCATGAAGGCATAAATGGAACTGACAATTTCAGGTAGTTCCTCAAGGCTCTGGATTACTTAAATAACCTATTTGCATCGCCAGAAGGTTTGATCCATGACGTTCCAGCCAGGTCCAACAAGTATTTTGGTTGATCTCAGGATTAATCCAATTTCTGTCGGCCCTGACTTGTCGCTGGCAGTGAAGAGACATGCGGTTTCTAAAGAGCGACCATTATTTTCCCCTACGTGATGGACACCAAGAACTTTGTGCTCTTCTATATGTTTTTCTCTGGTTGTATTAATATTGGCCATCGAGATTTTTCTTTCTTTCCTCGTGTATATGATTCAGTTCAATAGGGATAGTCCCTGTCTGTTTTCAATGGCCCAGTTTCGCTCAACATGTCAAATGATATGTTCTATTCGGGATTGTTGCGGAGAGCCCCCCCCTTGCGTCGGGTCCACGATATTCCGTGCTTATGATCGCACACAGATATCGCTCGTATATCCTCTCCTTCGAAAGGAATATCGCCTTTTCGAGGGGAGTTGCGCTCTCTTCGCAACGGTTTTCTTCCCGCCCACCGCAGAACCCCTCATTATGTACTAAGTATGCTTCCGCATAGTTTTGCTTCCTCCTAAGAATATACGGAGTGCTACGGGCCCGCCTGCAGCCCTCACGACGCTGTAGCCTTTTGCCAAGGAGACCTACACCACCATGTTCAGACTGCAGGTGCCCCGTATGGGCCAAAAATATCTCACTCGTCTCCATTTGTAGCAGTGTAGCAATGGTTGGAATAGATAATGTCAATAACTTGAATTCAATTTTAGCCGACCTTCAATGGTTAAGGCTTACTATCAGGATTAGACTATACATATACTACTGAGTCGTGACTGCGCAGACTGACAGCAATACAATGATCATACATATACTACAAGAAAAAACAGAACCCTGAAATTTCTCTAACACGGACGCAGGTATTAGATCCCATATATCAAGATAGCAGGTCTGGTCTCGGTCGTTTGTCCCTCCCAATACACGCAACATTCTACCTTTAGACACGAACATCGTCGCCAACCCTTCGCTCATTGATTCCACGGTAAGCAAAGTTGGACCCAATATATCCAAACAACAGGCCTCGTTCTTGATCGTTCTCCCTATAAATTGGGTTGCATGCAACTTCGCTTTGGGAACGGCCGTCCCCACAAACTTTCCCTCATATATTCCAGTGTTTCGCTTCAATACCATTACAGACTAACGCAATTTTCATATGTTTCAGCCGCCTCCACACGAAAGCTTTATTTCTCGACATACAGTTGCAGGTTATCGGCCTCATTTGAGAACAAATTCCTGCCTGGACAATAATTCGACTTACGAACGCCTCGACCGTTACCATTTTGTGGGTACAGTACAGTGTAACTGAACTCGAACCACTAACATCACTTTAGTGTATATAAGTCGGAATGTCAGGCCTTTTAGAAAACTCTCAGCCCAGGATAGCAATCGTTATTCGGGATGTAGCCTACCTAGCCGATTACCTTGAGTATGAATTTGGTTATCAGGAAGTACCGGTATCAGGCTCTGCCATCTGTGATTCTATTATAGTCAAATTGGAAAGATACTGTAAGATTATCTAAAGAATATCACGGGCTTAGCATTCTCGAAGGAGATTCATTGTTGTGATATGAGGCTGGTTCAGATCGGGAACGAAGCCGCACCATCGGAATTAGTTCACGAGAGATCTATACGAAGTATCTAATTGATTGTAATTTATGATCAATTTGATCTTCTCAAAATATATATAGCCTCACGTATTCCATTTGAAATAACAACAATCAATCCATACCTCTGAACTACAACAAGACTGACGATTGTTTTTGGACTCTGGAGGAAAAGCCTCAACCTTGACTAGGACATTATGTTCGGCTAATTGAGAGTGGACCAGGATGCCCAAGAATGCATCTTGTTTAGGATAATATGAAGTGTATTACTTTTGTGTAAATCTTTCCTGTGAATGCTCCACAGTTTATAATTGATCAAAGACAACGGTTTTACTCTGGGCCCTATACATAGAACCTGTATCAGTTAGATTAGCGCTGGCAGACTCTTCAGCCGATGAATAAAAGAGCACGGAGAACTTTTTGCCAGACAAACATGAGACGAAAGGCAGAATGGATGGGAGTAAAGAGACCGTTTTCGGCAGATACAATCCGCACCACCTAAACACAAACAAATTGAATTCAATTCACTTAGCTATCTACAAGCAAATCAAAAACATCCAAGAGAAGACTTTGCTTTGCTTTCGGCGGTGACTTTGGGAGCCCCATTAATTGGTAGACTGCGGTCTGAGCTCCCCGTACACTGTATTCCAAGTTGAAGGTTGGGTCGTGTGGAATCTCAGCAAATATACCAACAAGTGCAATGTTGGTAGTTTCGGGCGGTATGACCTCTGGTCGATTCTTTGGATACCTAGGCAATAATGCTGAAGTTGCCAAGGGGAAAAAACAAGGAATGGTAATCGACTTGGGAAGGAGATTCTTGATCGGAAAATTCAGGTGGGAGAGCAACTCGATCATGATATCCCTTCCAGCGCATTTGGTCATTGGTTTGTCAACAAAATTCCCAATCTTCTCAGGCCGCAGCCCATATCCCCAGATGACATGAGTATTTGGCGGCTGAGTCGAACATACTGGCTGGTGAGGAATACTGATACTAAGTAGCCAGTTGCTATCGGGGAACGAAAGAAGCGCACCAGACCCAGGAACATCATGGGTCAGCACGCGATAGAGACGCATAAACTCTGAGCCATGCAGTGTTACAGTGAATGTAACTAGTGTAGACTCTTGAGGGTGCGAATTGAAATTTAAAGGAACACCAAACTTGGTAGACTTCTGCGCGAGATGGATCCATAGTGACCAGTCCTCATAGTTGAAATCATTTGGAACAGAAGGCTGAAGGGGGGGATCCAAGTTGCTTCCCACCTGGTGGCCTGAGTGGGGTGACCCAATAGTGACAATCGCAACATCATTGGGATTCAGAATGACAATTCGTTCTCTCTCATTTTGGCGGATAACGATACCAGTAACAGTGGTTGGTTCACTTGAATTGTCGTCCATGTCAAATCGAATATCGATAACTTTTGCATTAAAATTAAAATTAACACCTTTCGATCTGAGGTATGTCGAAATTGGCAAGATGATAGATTCGTATAGATTAAACCGAGTGCGATCCAATGTCCTGACATCATTGAGTGAATGAATATTGGGAAGATGTTTGCGAAGACATCTTTGGAATTCGATGACACTGTGCGAAGGTCGCAAGGAAAATCTACCAGTGAGCGTGAGTCAGTGAATGGAGGTTGTTCATCATAACCCAGCAAACTCACGTAGTGGACCATAAGACCCAGAAGTCAGTAGCGAAAAAGTCATTACCGAAGAAGTGCTGGATCTGATTATGTCCTAACAAATTTTCGCTTTCCACCAGGACTTTGAGGAGCTGAAGCCGATTATACGGCCCGATCGAGAGGTGAGCACCACCGGATCGCTCACACTTTCCTTCTTTGTTTCTCAAAAAACGAGTCTGGGCTTTCATTCCAAGCGAGAATCTTTCACTCAATTCAAAATCTCCGACTGCGTCCAATAGAGATTTACCTGAAACTCGAGCACTCGGGACCAGAGACAACAAATTCTCTACCGATTCATCATTGAAGTATGGTAAACATCCGGGGTGCAGGACGAAGCCGTGATTGGCATCTCCAGAGCTCCTGATTCCTCCTCCTGTCTCGCCATGGTGGCTAAGAATATTTATGTTGCATCCTGGTAACCCCGCATCGTGAATAAGATGAACGGCAGCAGTAAGTGAAGCGATGCCACTGCCAACCAGCCATGCTTGCGTACTTTCAGAGTCACGAACAGGTGAACTTTTAGCATTCATTGTATTTTTGCTGTGATGGTCCTAGGAGGATTGAATAAAAACAATATGACTGGTATATCACGGCACAATTTAAAATGCCCACTCCCCGCCCCATGCTTACTCAATACAGCTGTACTGCTCCCTCGATTACATCACAATGAACAGTTAGTACCAAGCCATAGGTAAATCAAAATCTACTAAACTTGTGGGAGTGGCATGACATGAAGGTGGTGACATCAGCAAGCGACCTGGATTGCCGAAGCCGAAAGCTGAGCCGCTCAGTGGATGAATCCGAATTCAAACCAACCCGAATTCAAGCCCCCGCTTGATGTTGCGGCAACCAGGGGCTGAGTTAGCGACATGACTGTAGTCAACCACGGGATAGGTATATCAACATGGAGAGGGAACATGGTAGCTCGGGTCTCTAATTTGGGCTTTTCACCGAATGGAGCAGGAAGTGGCGAAATTTGTATTTATAATTGTTGTAACGTAAATACACCACTGCGTAACAGGGCGAAAAGACAGTACAATGATATTCAAAGTAGGAACCCCTAACCCCCTAGTCCTGATTAGAAGGGACTAGACCGCTCTATACTTGCCCTTATTCAAGTAAATATCTCGAATTTTCAATTCTATCCATAGGCGGCTGACATTCCATCGGCTCAAACTCAAATTTCCGAATATCCAACGTCCCAAGCCAACTAGGGGATTGATATCGATCCCAGATGAAGTAGTGGCTTATCCCTCTGTTCACTTACTGGGTAATTAGGTAATGGCTGGAAGATGCTTGAGAATACTCGCGATCGAAAGTATAGCCGGAGCTGTCCGTGATGTCCAGGCCTAGTTAATGGATGGACCCATATTTGGTCGCACTATCTGTACTTTGTTGGTAGGCGAGTGATGACGTATTCTCCTAGATCTGAGTTAACTTACAGGATTATTTATGTAAAGGCCATGACCAGAGTCATCAGGTCACCTTTTTATTCCCTGACAGCCTGTAGCAAGATTTCAGGAAATTAGTATATGTTAGCTTTCCACACAGGACCATATTTATGAAAGGCGTATTATGAAAGATGTCCTCACATCCATGTCTTATCGTTGTCTCGAATCGTTTACCCATTAAAATCAAGAAGCTAGAGAGCGGAAGTTACGAATGCTCTCAATCAACTGGCGCAGCGGCCTAACGAAATCGATGCCCTTCCGTTGGTTTGGATGGCCAGGGCTTGGGATACCTCGGGAGGACGAGGAGCTTGTAACTCAGAAGGTGGCCGAATACAATGTGCTACCCATATTCCTGGATAGTGATTTGGCTGACAAGTACTACAACGGATTTTCAAGTCAGTTTCCACTTTTTCCCTGGTTTATATGAGCAGATCGTCAGCTGCTAGACGATTGCGACTGCATAAACTATATAGATGCTTGTGTTGACATTTTATGCATAGATTCCACTTTGTGGCCACTCTTTCATTACCAACTACATGAAATGAGTCGTATTGAAAAGGCTGCCTGGGATGCCTACTATGACGTTAACCTCTTTTTCGCCAAAGTAATCATTCCACAGCTTCATGACGGGGATTCCATCTGGATTCACGATTACCACTTGATGCTCCTTCCGCAGTTCCTTCGCGAAGGTACACGACAGTCAGGTGTTGAAGTCAAAATCGGATTCTTCCTACATACCCCTTTCCCAAGTAGTGAAGTCTATAGAATCCTACCGATGAGGAAACAGATCCTCACAGGCTTGTTACATTGCGATCTTGTTGGGTTTCACACCACCAGTTACGCAAGGCATTTCCTGAACAGTTGCTCTGAAATCTTGTGCGTTGCCGCTGCATCCACCAACGTAATCCATTTTCGCTGATGTTCAGTTATTTTTATCAGGGAAACTCCTACTTGCGCGGGCTACGTGCAGTTTCACGAAGCGAGTGTAACTGTGGATGCCTTCCCAATCGGTATTCAACCTGAGCGCTTCGCAGAAACACTCCAAAAAGGAAACGTCCAAGATCGAATCCGGATGCTTTCACAGAGATACCAAGGGGCGAGATTGATAGTCAGTGTCGACCGTTTGGACTATATCAAAGGCGTGCCACAGAAACTGCGCGCGTTGGAAACCTTCTTGAGTCGCTATCCTGAATGGGTTGGGAAGCTCGTTTTGATGCAAGTTGCTGTGCCAACGAGAGAAGATGTTAGAGAGTATCAGAGTCTCCAGACAGAAGTCAATGAACTAGTAGGCAGGTTAAATGGAAACTATGGTTAGTTCGTTTGAGTTCCTGGAGCCCGAGGGAATGTGAAGTGCGCTGATCTGTCTCAAGGCTCAATTGAATTTTCGCCAGTCAACTTTCTATACAGTTCACTTGATTTCGAGGAGATCGTGGCACTCTATGCCGTCTCAGATGTCTGCCTAGTCTCATCTACACGTGACGGTATGAATTTGGTGTCATTGGAATATATTGCATCCCAACGTTTGAAACACGGATGCCTAGTACTATCTGAATTTGCTGGTGCGGCGGAGGTCCTCGACGGAAGTATTATCTTTAATCCATGGGATATTGACGAATCTGTTGATGCTATTCATATAGCACTTACTATGGGAGAGAAAGAAAGAGCCGAAAACTATAAGAGGCTAGAAGAGTATGTAATGCGAAACACTAGGTGAGTGTTATGCTTTTCTGTATTCTGGATATTAGCTGACCCAAGCACTATTCTAACACAATAACTAGTGCAAATTGGGGCAAAAGGTTTACAGATTGCCTCAAGAAAGCATGAAAAACATAGGTGGTAAGTGGTAGATGAACCAGAGAGAGTGAGCATTGTGCTTTGAGGAGAGGAAGGAATAATCTGGGTCAGTTACTACTGATATTCTTATCATTAAAGGTAGCGAATTGTCTCAGCTGGAACTTCCTTGGTGCGAGACTTTTATACTTTCAATTTAATATGTACATACCTATATCTGGGTTTGAACCCCATAGCCGAGGTTGAACTGACGCCAGAGCAGCCGACCGTTCTCATTCTCACCTGATCCCTTTATTGGCCCCTTCCATAGCGCTAATCAATATGTAATAGATATCAGTGGAGGTTCTTGTAGAAATAGCAACCACGTATCTCGCCTAGCTCAGAGCCATGTTTATAGAAGTTGACACGGCGCGTCGTTGATGTGTTGACCTCTGGTAACTGTGCCGCGGATGTTGAAACGATGGTGACACTGAAAAAATCGACCTTGGCATAATTGATCATTGAGAGCGAAATTGCGGTGCCAACAAAAGCAAAATAATGTCAATGGTGAAATGATTAATACACTGCATAACCTGAGGGCCAGTCTTTTGGGGCCTCACAATACTCAAGGGTGATCGAAGCTGTGCCAGCGACAAAGCAGGCCGCAGCACTATAAATATTCCATGTAGATCTCTTTTGCCACCTGAACAAGCCACTCTCGAAACATTCCCTAGTCAGCCCTGGTCACCCCTGGGCAAAAAATATAATAAGTTTCTCCCCCGCTTCACCAGGATATACATTAGAATTTATGATGCGCCTACATCCACATACATTTTATCTGTTATGGACTAAGCCTGAACTCTCATATGTACCTATGACCGAACTGACGCCTGCTGCTCCGCCTCTGGCTTGTCTATTCTCGATGAAAAACAACGCCTATGGTAGGTAATAGTAGCTGTCAGTCACTTGAATCGATGCTGGTGTGAAAGATACTTTGGATCAGCCCTGTTTCGGCTGTTCCCTCACGAACCCAATCGACGTACCTTGCCAAGGCTTGGAAATCCAATACAGGCTGCGAGAATAGTGCGTTATGAAGTGCCTCCTTGTACTACAGTACCTACAAAGCCTTGATGATGTCAAGCTACCAATCCAGCGAGCAATCGACTCTGCAGGTGAGGTCCAACGAAATCAGACAGACACAAGCTGGGGGTATCCGGTTGGCACATAATGCATTCTGATATGTGGGGCCTATAGTGATTGCATTCTATGCGGTATCGACACAGTTCCCCTTATATCGACGATAATGCAGCTAGGGTTCCGAAAGGAATAAAGGAATGCGAATATACGACATATTCATATTCGCACTCCGCGAATATGAATATATGAATTTTTTATTCGCGCGAATAAACGCCGTATTCATATTCGCATTCATATTATTCATATCGTGAAATTTCTCCGCATTAATACTTTGTCCGGTAAAGCGGTTATCGTATTACCGAAATGCGCTTAGATGTCGATTTCACAATGCCATCACTTCATCAGCAACGCTGGACTGTGAATCTCCGTTGCGAATATATGTTGGAAGGTACAACCCGCTCATATAGGATTTGACCGGTATGATGTGCCGTAGTTGATCTTTTTGAGATATGATACTCATTCATAAGTGCCTATTCATAGAAACTTGACACGACCACAAAGATCCGTGAAGATTATATATATCTAACAGTGCAATTGCGAACCAACTTGGGCAATGAATTGAATAGATCTGCTCATTCTCCCGGTTCAAGTTCAATCCATTTCAAACTCCGTCCATAAAGTAGTCCTGAGAAATGGCACGTGAAAAACGCGTTTGCCTCACGAGCCAGAGCCTCAGATGACCCTGGCTGCATTTTGTTTACGTTCAAAATCATCGATATCGCGTTGCAGAAAACACAAAGGAGACCTATCAACTTTCCACGTCAAGAAGGGCATATAAAGCGCGAACATGATGGGCTTGTCAACAATCATCCTATCCTCAAGCCCCCTGTCAGTTTCTAACCCCAGCCCAGATAGCTCAAGGTATGTTATGCATCACCGTCGATACCACTTTGATATACTGATACCAGGAAATAGTAGCATGGCATCTTCACCCAATCCGTCCATGCGGAGGACGCGCGGTCTTCCACGTCGGGACTATAATGCTCTACACAATGGCTTGGTTTCTTCGCCTTCAGAGCAATCTGAGGAATCTACCTGTGAAAGACACCCTTACTCTCCTGAGCTCTCCCCATCTAGGGACCCAGAAGACACACCTCACTCGAAGCGATCTTACTCTTTGCTTAGCTCCTCGCCCTCCCCGCTTGATCCTGCGTTTTCGGAGAGCAGGAGCAATACGAGTAGTCCACACCCGTATAAAAGACGAAAACCCAAGTCGTATTCTAGTTGGACCATTGAGCACTTTTGGACCACAGATCTGGATAACACTTGGTGTCGGCAGGGTGGCCCACCGAAAAAAGACCGACTGCTTATTTGCAAGCATTGCAGCTGGTCCTCCAGAGATTCAGCACGCTACGGTTCCACTTCGAATTTATTGGTGCATCTCCAGACCAAGCATCGTATCAAGTCTGGGCCGGACTCCATCTTCTTACCCGCGGTCGAAGGAAGCCTCGACCGGTTCTTGGCGTCACCGAGAAAGAAGGCTAGCGTTGAAGAAATGCTAGTCCAATGGGTCATTCAAACAAGACAGCCTTTCACAGTGGTGGAGCAGCCGGCTTTCAGGGCACTTATCGAAGCAACAGGGACTACTTTGCCCATCAAAACCGCTGATACTCTCTTTAACCGAATTAAGGAGGAATTCCACTCGGGTAGGGCTTACGTGAAAAATGAACTTGCCAGGAGTAGCCGGACACTCGCATTATCTCTTGACGTGTGGACGTCAGAAAATCAGATTGCGATAATGGGTATCATTGGTCATTGGATATCCCCTGATTTTGAAAAGCGAGAAGAGCTCCTTGAGTTCACCGAAATTAATGGACCCCATTCTGGAGAGAACCTTGCGGAAGTTGTACTGAAGATGCTCGACGAGCTAGACATCGCGCCTAAGCTCCTGACCATCACGGGGGACAATGCGGGCAATAACGGGACACTCTGCGATAGCCTGCATGACCAGCTCCTCAAGAAGTATGATAATGACGATGACCGCTTTCGCATCAGGCCTCTGATGCGGTTCCGTGGACGACAGAGCTTTATTCCTTGCCTTGCCCATGTCCTCAATCTAATTTGCAAAGATGTATTAGCTTCTTTAAAGGCTGGTTCAGCTCGAGAAGCGAAGGCGATACTGGACGATATGGCCATTCATACTAGCCCAGCATTCAACTCTCTTCACAGCACGAAAGGAGCAATTATGAAAATCCGATTGCTGACGCTATGGATCGCCCGTAGCCCACGGCGCCGCCAAGAATGGAAAGAAGTATCACCAAGCAAAAAAGTCAGTTATGACGTTGACACCCGATGGAACTCAACATATCTCATGATTCAAGATGCCCTTCGGCTACAAACTGAGCTGGGGCAGTTCGTGCGGATACATCCAGAAGTTCAGGCCCTCCAGCTTATCGATGACGAATGGTCGACACTTCAGCAAGTAGCCAAGATTCTGAAGCCGTTCTGGGACCACACAAACTCGGTTTCAAAGGCATGCCCAACAATTGTGGAAAGCCTACCGATTTACTGGAGCTTGGATGACTTGTTAAATGACGTTCGAAATGCGGAGGGAGATTTTGAAGATGTGAACATTGAAATTCGCGATGCGGTGGAAAGAGGGATTCGGAAGATGAACAAGTTCGCTAGAAAAATGGACGACAACCTTCTTTATTATGTGGCTTCCGTGCTAGATCCGCGCATCAAGTCGTCTTTGATTTTGTCTCAAATGAGCGAGCAAGATTCAGGGCTTATTGTCTCTCAAGTGCGGGAATTTCTAAAAAAAAAGAATACCCTCCAGAGCCATTCGTGTCGCGTGAAGTTGACCATCTACGTCCACCTGGGATGTCAGAAACAATGTGGAAGACTCTGCGCAAAGTCCAGCCATCCAAAGAGGTCTCTTTGTCGGATATTGATAAATATTTGGATTCCCCGCCGGTCAACTGGTCCCATCATATGATCGGCGATGCAGACGCAGAATGGGTCTTAAAGTGGTGGAAGGCTAACGCGTTTAATTTCCCACTGATGGCAAAAGCCGCTCGCGATTATCTACCCATCCCTTCAGCAGAGGTCGGGATTGAACGCGAGTTCAGCAATGCTCGAGATGTTTTGGGCCTCCGAAGGCACCGTCTGACGCGGAGACTATGCGATGGCTGATGTTATTAAGAGGAAAGTCTCAGTCATAGATTTTCAGAGGTGCATGCATGTAAATTGAGTGGTTTAGAAGTAAAGTTTCGTATGCAATTTTTATGGACCAGAGTATAGGAGCAGCTTGGTTAATGTATTGGGATGTAATGAAATGAATGGTTATGTATGGTATCTTATTATATGAATAAATATGAATTATTCATATATTCATGAATATTGCGAATATGAATAGAGGGCTTATTCATATTCATATTATTCAATTCATATTATTCATATTCGCAAATATTCATGACTATTCATGAATAATCATATTCCTTTCGGATCCCTACGCCTAACCGTGTTTCTTGGGGTCACAAGGGATTGTATCCACGGCATAGCAAGCAACCAGACCACCACCAGAGCGCCGACTAGTTTCAACCCTTGAATGGTCGCTCGAGAATGATGGGTTACAAATGAGACGAACTCGGCTACGTAGGGCACAAAAACATGGAAAACTCAAACAACGTCACCATCGCCCCCTTCGTCCCCCAGGGCCAACCTCACTTGAAACTTCTTCCTCACACTCTTCTGTCTTCTGTCTGCGGAGCCAATGCTTGAAATGTCCGATGTAGATTCTGAATCTGTGTCTGCAGATTTTCGAGTCGGTGCTGCAAAGACAAGGTTATCGTCTCCGTGCAGTAGCGATAGGCTCGCTGTGCTAGCCGTAATTGTAGCCTTCGGTGCTATAATCTCTCAAGGTCCCGCTGGCCAAGAGTATACTGTCTGAGTTCTCTTAAACCCATCTCCAGAAACGGGTACCTTAGTAATACGCTTCGGTATTCGTTCCGCAGACGAAACATTTACACTGATCATGTTATTACTCTTGGATCGCTGCATGTTTACTCTAGGCGGATGCTGGTACTCTGCGCAGTGGTGGTGGCGAGATTTTGGTCGCTGTCGTGAGAGTTAATTAACTTAGTTGATGGTGCTCATCTGACTAATCCATCTGCCCCATATGATCTGACGTTTAGTGGCGAAACCCACCACTATACGCGGTATTCGGCTGATAAATCAATGATCACTCATCCGGGCAGATAGGCCGAAAAACTAGCGTCGATCTGTTTTATTCCCGGTTCCTTATTACTATGCCAGCTTGTTACTAGACCAGCACGCAGCACGGTTTTGATCACTCATCAAAAGAACCACCTTTATAAGCGATTCTAAGGAGCCATCGAGAATTATTACGAGACTGATGGGGCCGCGGGCCTGTTTTACAAGTTTGCTCTCTGATACCACCCCTTCAGAAACTTACCAGACACACACCACCGCCACTCTCACGGAGGAAAGTGTCAGGATAAGGAATTGATGTACTGGCTAGTACTGAACATGTCCAATAGAATCATATGATTGATTGATTAAAGATGAGAGTGGTTGAACACTCGTGAGAGTCTGTATCATCTAGTTTCGGTGTGTTACGACACCATACTCCGAGTCTACACCGAATACCACACGAATACGTGGGGAATTGGGCGGACGATGAACATCCCACCCAAAAGCGTCTTAGTGGTATTTGACCACTCTTTCCGCTCGACAGAAAGGTCTGGGTAAGGTTTGCGGATTACTCAGACTTCTCATCAACTAGATAGAGCAAGCCCGCTCTAAGGGTGGATCGCTTTTCTTGCTGCGGGAATTTTACTGGAATTACCCTGAGTGCACGAAAATTTCAACGATGAGAGCTTACCGGATTATAAATGCGAGCAGATTTCGGCTTCGGCCCGAGGTTTTGTTAAAAGATGACGTAATACATAACTTGTTTTGGGACGAATTGTGAGTTTCGGCCGTTGGGTTTTTGAATGATTAGTATGAGGCAGGAGATAGAAAGTGGATGAGGGAAGAATATATATAAGAAGTTCAGTTCCAATCTCTTCAATCTCACATACAATTTCTCATCCTTTAATTCCCCGATTAAACACAACAGCAAAAATGCCCTTCACCGAGTTGGTTGTCCCAACATTGAAGACAGATCCCGTAACGGAAGCAACATTCACCACCGAGATCGCACCTATTCTCATCACAATCCTTGATACACATGCCACTCCTCCTAAGTCTAAATACTTCGGGAAGATTCTCCTCGAGAATGGCAATGATGTGTCGGGGGACTTCAGACTTTGTGTTGGGCTTGGTTCGTCATTTCCTCTTCCTTCCCCGTTTCTTTCCCTTTCCTCCTTTCCTTTCTCTTGATGTCATCATGTTCCATTCCCGTCCTACTACTATCCTTTCCCTCCTCTCAGCGCTCGCGCAAATTCGAACATAGACTGATCCTGATTCTTCGACAGAGTGGGAAGACGCCTCACATTTCAACACCTTCGTCGCATCAGCCAATTTCCAGAACTTCAAATCCATCGTGAAGCCTCACTCTGTTGCCCCGCCAGTCCCACAGCTCTATAACACGGATCTCGGGCCGAGTGTCGTGTTTGGGAATGCGCTGACGGAGGTGTGGCAGGTGAAGATCGGGGAGGGGGATGAGAAAGTAGTGGAGGCGAGGGGAGCGTGGGAGAAGTTTGTTAGTGCGGTTGCAGAGGCGGGTGGTGTGAATGGGAATGGCGATAGTATTCAAGGGACGAGTCTCAATCTAGAGGAGAAGAGGTGGGTTGGTGTGTTGGGGTGGGAGGGTAGTGAGGTGAGCTTGAAATATCTTCTAACCTTTGTTGGTGGTTGAGAACAGTTGGCTGACTTTGGGATTGTAGATGAGAGAGAAAGTACTTGGGAGTGCAGCTGTGAAGGAAGCGAGGAAGAGCCTGGATATATTGGTGTGGAATACGTTCGTTACTGCATTTGCGAAGTAACTGTAGACAGCGAGAGAAGAATTCGGAATATCCACACTTAGAAACTCTCACACATTCCTTAATACTGGTAGCTTCCGTATGATAGTATGTCAACTTGACAATCTAAAAGAAGTGGAAAGAAAAAGAAACGAAAGCAACATTATAGTATATTAGCCGTAGTGCAACAATTAAGACGTCAGAGTGTAAACCGTACAATAATATGATCCAATCTAACGAAGTCTTGCGGATCAGGATATAGGTCTTCGCATCTTTTCAGTGTAGTTCATGAGACCCATTTTCCATACTGTATAGTTAAAAATCTGTACTAATTATTATTAATTAAAGTGTCGGTATCAGTGGGGAATTGGTATTGTAAGGCATGGTCAGTATGTATCATTGTAACTTAGCCAAGAGTCTTAGTCATGGTCGGTCGCATACAAATTAGTATGTGAGCGAACATAACAAGAACCAGACAACAATCCATGGACCTGATTGGACGTACATTTCTGTTCCGACATAAGATAAATTAACGACCGAATCAGTATACGGTGAATTCGAGAGCAGATTACCCCCTTGACACTCGCGCCTTCTTTTCTGGCGCCCCACAAAGTTAGCGCTAAACCTAATATGGTCAAAGAAAATCCCATCATTTTTCTTGATGTATTTCTGGTAGATCATCAAAATTACCGTAAATACAGTTTCCAGAACTGGGCCAATTATGTCTTCGTGGCGATACGTAGCCTAGCTTGAGTTTTAGCTTATCAGCACTTGTTAAAAGCGTATGGACTAGTATGCATTCAGGACGAATGAGATCAAGCGGAACCAATTCAGGATAAAATGATTGGTTGAATCGAAATAAGCATGCGATCGAGGGCAGGTTGAAATCCCCCCCCCCGGTATGTGCGTATACTCGGTGGTTATTACACCGAGGTTGCTAGTTGAACCAATTTACCATACAAAACACAAAGAAATGTGGGTTCCTGGGTGATCAATCGCTTGCTAGTGGTAAAATACCACTCGATGCGCTGACAATAAGATATGACCTTAGTTCGTCACCTGATTATCCGATTTTCTGGTGTACAATTTTCGCTAGACCCATGAAAACCAACGGATACTAAAGCTTCGGTTATTTTTCTCCCCAAATGGATGAAATATCATACGATACTATAGCGAATATATAGTATCTCCAATAAGTTCGGTAAATGATTGCATTACTATCTTGAAGTCCAATACGAGACCTAATAACGGACAGGCCAATCTCCGGTTCCCGTGAAGATACGCATTTGCTTTTGCCAGCTTTATACGGTATCGTTGTAATGTGTACGGTCGATATGGTGCTGTGAGTATACCTTTCTAAATTTTGTCGCTATCAATGAATGAATGGCAATAGAGCGACCTGGAACGCCAGGACTCTGAGCGCTTGATCACCATATATGGAAACGTGAGCTATTTGCCAACTCCCGATGGATGAATGCAGATTTCAAAGATTAGCACAATTCAAGAAAGCGTTACCCAAACCACTGATAGTATGGTGGGCATCCGTGAAAACCGAGCAGGATAGTTTAAGAAACCTTGATCGTATATTCAACTAGTAAATCGAATAATCTTTCTATAGAAGCTAAGAGAATAAACTAGTCCCATTTGCCTCAACCAGGTCTCGAAGTCACAATTAATACACCCTCTACCATGTCGCCATGTATTTCACGATCATTGCCTTCAAACATGGATTATGGTCGGTCATAAAACATATGTCTTCTATGTCTCCGGCCTATATCAGGTTGAAAACTAGGTTTCAAGTGAGCTCAATGTCATTTAAATCTACCAAACGGTCGTAGCTGGGAGCCAAATAAAGCTCCACGCAAATGACTTGGGAAGACTGACCCACGACCCACGCGAAGGGTGATTAACACACAGTCAACTTATCCGGGGAGTCCATTTTATATTTGCTGTGATGCGAGATGATTTGGGAGAGCTACAAAGAAAGTACATCCATTTTAGGTGAACGTTGGACGGAACTTGATTGATGGTCGCTGTAAAGTCCAGCGTTTACTGGAATTCTCCTGTGGCCAAGATTATGAAAATCTCTTAATTGCGTTTGGGCCTTTTTCATCTTATATTTGCCATCCTCGTGATGAAAAGCCGTTTTCGAGTTATAAATAGCATTTCCTGCCCCCAACAATGAGATGGTGTACTATGCTGGCTAGCTAGCAGAGAAGGCCATGTTTAATATGGCAATCGCGCCCGTGTGATCAAGTTCTTAGCATAGGCTATTTAAGAAACATTCAGGATAACCGATCTCAAAGCTCCCTGCCTAAACTTTTATACTCCAATCTTATCCCAAACAGTCCAGAAACTCACGTAAGATCCTAGATCTCAGAGGTCAAATTCAATCTCAGTTCGATCGACCGTCATTCACCGAACCTTCAGGTGATACCGTGGATTTCCATCTGACAGCGAGCTTTCCAGGCCATCCCTTCACATAGATCGGCTAGATCGACATAGTAATCCCAGTCCTCCCACTGTTCTTGTGCCTCTGCTGCATCAGCGTCTTTCCGTGCTACCCTGGCTCGACGCTCCCAAGCGAAAGCATATATATTCAGCGCACTGTCGTCCTGATAGGCAGCATTATCCTGTAGGCGGGGACCTTCCCCGAATTCCTGGTGTGCTCCCGAGTTTGATGCCATGGCATTGAAATCAGTGGTATAGCATTGAGTGAGCGAGATTTGCGCGATCGAAAGATGCGTATCTTTAATAATTTGATGTATTGAGTCAATAAGGTGTAGATAGGTGGATAAGATATGCCAGCCGTCGTAATCTGGTAGTTTAGTAGTAAGTTGAACTAAGAAAATTGCAAGAGGTTTTGAAATACCCACCACCTTTTAATTCCTTAGCCACAGTATGCGTACCACAAGGATCTCCGTTTGCATCCAATAATACTGACGCAAAGCAGGTTTTGGCAGGAAAAGCTTTCTGGGACATTGAACGCCACTTGGCCCTGAATTCAAAATAAGTGGTGAAAATAGGACGGGGAGATCGGCCGCTTTTGAAATTCGCGGGCCTGACGTCGGGTTTTGGCGAGGCCTAGTCCCAGCTATTGAATGCGCGGCTAATTTACCCAACCAATCGCATGACTTCTAATAACCCAAATTCTCTACAAAAATTCTGCCACATTCTACCAGCCAGCCAATAGCATTTCCAATAGGGCGCTATCAGGACTCTTCAACCACCTACTGTAGATGGCTCATGTGGACTTTCTCATATATTCATCCTGGTCGTAATCTACTGGCATTCGTTTCCGACCAATGAAATTTAATGGTCCTTACGTAGCACTCAGAGACCAAGCGTCGTCCGTCATTATCCCATCCATAGATTCATTCTCTTTCAGGAAGACCCAGAGACCCATAAAATCAAAATGATCGCTTGAACCCACCCTACCTATTATAATGCATGATGCAGTCAGTAACCAAGGGATATAATAAAACTTCTTTTTGCAACAGCTACTGTGCGAGAAAATATTGACCATTTCTATTTCCACCAATAATCTCTCCAGATATGCCCTTGGGGTATGAGATATGCTTGACCTGCGACAGCAAAACATCGCAAGGACCTTTCTGCTGTGATATATGCCGTTATTTCTTGATGCACCCATCTCTATCTATGTCAGCGCCCGACACTGCCAATCACTTCAGCATCTCTTGCGATCAAGTCTCATCCAATAGCTTGATGAATTCGATATTCCTAAAAGAATCCTCGTCAAATACAATGAGATGGTGCCAGATAGGTCGAGATATCTCACTGCCCACCGATATCTCGAGAGAGCAGCGAAGTATCTTGAAGACTTATGAGCATTATTTTGATCAAGTTCGACTCATGAAAAGACAAATGCTTCCTTGATTTATCTGGGCCATTGAATTTCTGATTGTTGTGGTAAGCGAAGGAATTTCAGGTTTGAAAGCAATCAGTGCTAATTAGGCAGCAGTACAGGGATTCCTTTACGACCCATGGGGGCATCATTATCGTGCTGTCCGCAATGTGAAAGTTCTTTGCCGATCTAGGGTCTAAGACGGTGGCCGTTCAGGATGGGGCAATCTGGGAAGAGCTCGATCAGACAGCTGCGCGTCAGGGATTGGCCGTGATCAGCTGCACGTCGATCGCGGTGGGCGGGGGATTCGGTTGGCTCGGGACTCCACGGTTTGGTCATCAACAATTTACTAAGCGTTAAAGGTCTTGCTATGATATGAGGCTGGTGCAGATCAGGAACCAAGCCGAACCATCGGAATTAATCCCGAGATATCTATACGCAGAAACATGTTGATTGAAAATCAACTTGTTCTTATCGTTGTATATAGAGCCTCAAGTTTCCCTCCGAGTAATAATAATCATTTCCATACCTCCGAACCACAGCAATAATCTTTTTGCGTCTTGGCCATTTAACCAGATGACTCGGAAGAATGACGAATTCTATCAGGTCACGTATCATTTTTTTTCATTAATTGAACGCAGATTCGGGGGTTCTAGGAAATTTCGAGCGGTCGAACGTAGCCCATTGAGGCCACACGGTCGCTCAGCGGACAGGTTGCGTTCCGTGGAGACAATACGAAAAACTCACTCGCGATGAGCCGCTTGTCGGAGAAGCAAAATGTAGAAGCAAAATGTCATGAGGTGTCCATGCGGGCTGCTTGCTCACCACGACCAATTCAGTGAAACATCAAGTGATGTCTTCGAAAGACTTCCAGGTCGGGATTGGCAGCTGGTGTGGTTCAAAGGAAGATGGATCATTATTCAAGAGGGAAAATGAGGCTATATATTCGATATGATCAAGCTGGTTTCCATCGAAATTTCGATCATTGAGATCGATCATCGACCCTCCATCGAGCCACTGTTTCGTGCATCCATACTCGAAAGAACGAGCAGGCGCGTCGAGAGTGACGGATTAAAAAAATTTAATCTTGCATCTCTACAGCCAAATATGATGGTACAAGTGGACTGCAGAGCATGAATCTGGGGTTGCGCTTTTTTGAAGGTGAATTCGTGATTTGATTGTATAGTCGATGGGTATTCAACAGGTAATCTAATGGAGCTTCACAAGTTCTTAGCCAAATATCGTCATGATCGAGCATTTTCAATCCGCAAAATTTGCCGCTTTCGATTGAATTCGCCATAAAAAATGTGGGACATCTGACCTAAGGACGAGACGATTTCAAAGTATCATCAGCAAGGAAACAAAAGCAGCGAGAATAGTGCGAAGGAGACTGTCCGTGAAGCGGCCCCCCGTGTGGACGGGGGAGAATCTCTCCGAGGTGCTACCGGGAGAACGAGGGCCCCCCGGCCTACGAGTACCAACAAGGACCTTCGAAGTAGAGAGAGTGATCACAACGCCTATTGAGACAAGAGCTTCAGCAATTGTGATCAAAATCTCTCCTTGATAGTAACAGGAACCACTCCCATAGTCCCAGATTCGTTCCACGTGCCAATTTCAACCGTGTAACTTGCATCGTCGTTAAATTCTCGAATTCATTCGACGACCCGGGCTGCATAGAGGCTCTTCAGGATAAACTACAAATCCTTATATCCTTTACATCGTCAACAAGATCGATTCTTCCTTGAGATCCGTACATGGAGCAGACCATCCGTATACCGCCGTTATGTCGAATAATCATGTCGTCAACATCGTCAGAAGTCAGGTTATCGCATTTGTCGTCCTCATTGTAAAACTGGCCGCTGCGTATATGTCAGACAATACCGCCTTGAATACTAAGGAGTAGTAGAAATACCTGGCAAAGTTTGACTTTTCGATACGGATGTCATACTTCAAGTCATCTTGAATTTGGATATGGAGGTGTTGCTGGAACAACGAAGAGGCCATGATCAACCGATAGGTTGATTGAATCGGAGGAACTGTTTGCCTGAGCAAGTAACGAATATTGCATTAACGATCTAAAGATCGAAAAAGGGCCTGGGGATAAGCACTATTTACCAAGAGGAGAGGTGACGTGTTTATGACGGCTGCTCTAATGGGGCACCACGTGCGTCGAAAAGTCACAATTGTCCTCTCAGATTGTTTCATTCTTTCGAAATTCTTAAGATCTCCTCATCCTAAACCTCTATTAAACCGATCTCCTCCATGAAGTCCAGCCAGTCTAGCAGTGTCACGCCTACCCCACCTGACTCCGCTTGGCCTACGGCCCACATTTGGGAAACCATGGACGCGGCAGACCGTGCCAGCTAGCTAGGACAGATACGGAGAAAGGTTTCAACGCAGCGAGCGAATTCTCCATTTTCATTGAACTCGACGTACTGGGAAGGGATCCTGCGGCGGATCTCGAGGCGGATCTCTGCGCGACGCAGACTTGGCCCTATTCTGAGTACGCGGTTCAATTGAAGAGTATCTGCCCATACGGAGATGAAAAGAGCCTAGCGCTTGAGTAACTGACGCTGCATTGTTGCGGCACTCGGATGATCGATTTTCAAAGCGAAGGGGCCCACAGCAGGGCCCCACCATGCCAGGGCTGTGCCACAGCGGTTTCGACCGTTCACAGCGGCCCATCATGGCCACTGACTGACTGAGCTTAGGATAATGCTCCTTTATGGTCCTGCAGATGTTTACCAACGGTCGTTGTGTATATAGCCTTATCTATTCCCGCTGAAATAAGACAACCAATGTTCCTCTGAATCACTACAGGTGACAGTACGCTAGTCGGTGGTGGTACCGAACCGCTGTTGGAAAGACCGGTGATGGAGAAGCATTTTTTTGGGAGGTTATCACCTGTTTCCCCCTCGATGGATGGATGCTACAGGGATCCTCTCGTCGAACTCGACATCATGGGAGAAGACTGTCTTTCCCGAATGAACTTCATAAAGTTTGTACGGGTTTGATTCGGAGTAACCCAGCAATCGGCAGTCGGATGATTTGGGCCCGGGTTTTGCTCGGTGCTCCTTCGGTATCAGTACCCATGCACGGGAGCCGATCCGTCGCAGATGCAGCAGTGACGGCGGCTCCCGGTGTCTAATTTCATACGGGGCCTTCTTCTGTAAGATCGATGCTGCAGCGCGCAGCTTGAGATAGACCACCGTGTCCAAGAGCTCGATCCACCAGGAAGGAGGAAGGTTCGCATTGGACAGGAGCGTGTTGATCCGCTCCCTGATGGTGCGATTGGTACGTTCGGCCAGTCCATTCTGCCCTTTGCAGTAGGGCGGCGAGGTATCAAATTCAACTCCTTGGGATTCGAGATGTGTCTCAATGGGCAAATATTCTCTCCCGTTGTCGGTGAGGAACCTTTTTATCCGGGCGCCGAACTGTCGGTGCACCCAGGCCTCGAAGCTCTGGAACTTCTGGAGCGCTTCATGCTTCCATCTCATGGCATATGCCCACGAGCCTCGAGAATAATCGTCAGTAAAGGTGATCACGTACCTGGAGCCATCTTTGGCCATTGGCATCTCCATGATGTCCGAATGAATCAATTCGAATATTCTCGTTGAATGCAGACGTGGCCGTCGTGCACGGGAGTTCCTCTTCTGATGCTGCTTACCCGACATACACGCCGGGCACTGCGGCGTTGCCTGCAGCTGCGCCGGCGTCAGCGGTCGGTACGGAGTGCCAGTCTGCCGGAGGGCCACCCTCAAGTCGCCCCGGTTCAGATATCCCATCCGAGCGTGCCACAGCGCTTCGGAGGCTTAGTCCCCTCCTGTGCCCGCATCTGCTTCGAGTATCCGAGCTTTACCACCGAGTTCAGAGGTTGACGCTGTACATTCTACGTCACTTGACTCTCGAGGGTCGTCGACGTCCATGGCCACCGCCTGCGGTTCCAGGGAATCTGCATGGTCATGGGTCGCCGGCGCCCTCGCGAGGTGGACTCGCTCTCGGGATCTCTTGCTCACATGGCACCGCAGGATCAGTAGATCCTCCTCCGCATGGTAGGCGGTCCCTACCGTCCGTCCTCGGCGTTGCACGAAGACGTTCTGCGGGTGCGCCACCACCAAATAGCGGTCTCGTAGTAGCTTCGGCACGCTGATCAGGTTTATCCCGACGCGTGGCGCGAAGTATACATTCTTTAGCACCAGAGGTTGGTTGAACTTCCCCCGGAGCGTGAGCTTCACCGTACCAATCCCTTCGGCTTCCACTGGATCGCCCGCCGTGTCCAACATCTCGCGATGGATCCGAAGACTGCTGAAGCAGCTCCGGTCCCAGCAGATGTGGCTGGTGGCAGCCGAGTCCAGGATCCACCGGGGTTGCGGTGCGTAGGTATAAAGGGTCGTCACCCTCGCCCTCACGATATTGATCCTCGGTCTCTTGGAAGTCGGCGGGCCCTGCCGATCTTCCATCTGGCTTGATGGTATATTTTGTAAATTATTTCTTGGTGAGCCGGAAACACTCCGTTCCGCCTTCAGGGCATGGCCCATAGGCGGCTGTTGTTCGCGCTGCTTCTTCCAGCACTCCGCAGCTACATGACCGCGCTTCTTGCAGTAATTGCATTTCTTGGTGTTTTTCTGCACCGTGTTGATGAAGGGGTGGCTTGTTCCGCCGGGGACTCTCTGGGGGAACGTTGCAGCGTCCTTTCGCTGCACCGTCTGCTCGGCATTTGCTAGACGGTTGCCAATATTTGCCGGGTTGACAGGATCCTTATCATTCTGGATCGCATCTACAATCAGGATGTATTCCGGTCCGATCTGCGTCAGTAGGATTGCAATGTGCGCTCTGTCGCCGATGGACCCAGGGGCGATCGCATTCAACCGATGGACTAGCATCCGTACACGATCGACGAATTCACGTGCACTGCCTCAACGCTCGCCGGTGGTCTCACGCAGCTGGGCGAACAGCTCGCAGAACGTGGCGAGCTCTATCCGCCGATACCGTTCTTCAAGTTCATTCCAGAGGTGGCGGGATGTCTCTAGCCCCGCGACATGGATACTGATATGGGGGGGACAGATATCGGAAGATAGTGTGGTAGGCCTCGGCTTCGCGGCGCGACCATTCACGGTGGCGCTCGAATGCCTGGACCTCCACTTCGAGGCGCGCCTCAATCGCGCGTTGCCTCACCGCCCCGTTGAGGTGCGGTTCCACCAACGGGTGGGTCCGCCGTAATGGGTTTGGCGTACTTGAATGAGCAGTCAGGACGCTCAAGGTCGCCCAACACGACATCCCAGACTTGCCTCGCTTTGAGGTAGGAGGTCATGAGATGTTTCCAGGTCGCGAAGTTGTCGCTTCCTGTCAGAGGGAAACATTAGGCTATATATACACAACGAGAAGAACCAAGTTGATTGGAAAATCAACTTGGTTCTTCGTATAGATATCTAGGGATTAATTCCGATGGTTCGGCTGGGTTCCTGATCTGCACCAGCCTCATATCACAACAGATAGCGTAACTGTAGCAATAATGGCGTAATGTCTATGATCCTTTTAGCAGAGAGACCATTGAAACTTTGCTGCAAACGGTGACATGTCTCCGCTACGAGGGTAACCTTGCAGTACCCCATGTCGGCGAGACTGTAACAGTAGCAATGATGAGATATTATCAGTGATTCTTTGGCGGAGAAAGTCCAACTGTGTTAGTGCTCCAAGAGAATTTGAGTAACAGGACTTCGTAATTTTCATCAAGTTACTGAAAATATATAATCCCTTGCTACTTTTGCCATATTCTAAGCGGTACTCTCTGGAACATAATGACGACTGTGTAGATTCGAATATTGGAATCTTTAAATCCTTATTCTCATTTCCAGGGGCTGGGCTCTTTTAGCTACAGTATTGAAACCCCGAGAAATTGGTATGAAATCAATCTCCAGGGTTTGATCAGTGATTAATCTTTTCACAAATTCATTATCCAACAGGGCCATCGTTCTATCTGACTTCACAACCACTTTCTTTTTTACCTGCGCATAATTGGCGGATGATTTCGCACACACGCACCTCACCAAATCCTCTGTAGTCCGCTGTTTGAGGTAGACTGCGAAATAAATATCATCGTCTCCAAAATACCCAGCCTCTTTGTATGTGCGGAAATATAAACAAAGCACTAAGACATTATTAGACTGATCAGAAGCTACCGAGAAGTATATGGACATACGTGCTTGTTTCAAATAACCAGAACGGCCAGGTGACGATTGCTGCGGCTTTGCAAGATTTTCAACTCTTGGAGTTAAACCCAAGTCGGAAACGTGGACATCTATCTGACGATCGGAAGCGCGGGGCGCTGTTTCGGTGGTGTTTCCAATGGGCCTAAGTCCATCCAGGTGAAATTGATCACCAAATGCACTATTGAATTCAGCCAATAGCTGTGTAGGCAGTCTACAGGGATCCTCAAGAGGGTTCGTTAGTTTTTAAGGAGCTCGGTCCAAGGTTTGCGGAGAGAATACACACTTTCGTTTCATGATCTACAGCTCTTGTGGTTGAGTTGCGATTCTCAACACATAAGCGCTTTCGCTTTGGGTCTCGAGGCCATACAGACAGCGATGAATGGCTGACGCCAGAATCTATGAAAAGACTTGATTGACGAGAAGCATTCACGATAGTATATGGGCCCATAGGCACATTCAATGGAATCATCCTTTTGGCAGGTTGGATGCGCATTGACAAGTTATGGATTGACAGCTTGTATTTTGACCTTTGTTCAACCCGAGACCTCACAATACCCCAAGAATTTTGTCCGTAGGCAACTTCCATGTGGTTTGGTAAGTTTGCTTGCGAAATCGCGACTCTAGCACTTCCATCTGCACCTCGTTAGCCTAGAGCTTGCAGGTAATAGTAAGAACCTACCGGTCACTGAATCCAGGAATCTTTCCTCCTCCTCTCTAACGTGGTATAATTCGTCCAGTAGTTGTAATCGTTCGATCGGAGAAATGTGCAGTTGAACAGGCCGCCCTGCATCTTTCAACTTCTGCGCGGTGATTCTGTGGCTGGCGCGTAATTCGCAAAGGATATGGACGAGCAGCTTAATGCGCTCTGATTCAAGGGTCAGTTGAGTCAATATCAAGGGGGAAATAACTGCTTTTCTCACCAACTTTAGGGAGGTGGTCGGGTTCGTGGTGGCTCACACCAAGTGGCCACCATGGCGGTTTTGTCTCTTCAGGACTGAATTGCTGTATTTTGCCTGCCACGGTCTTCCTTCCATTGTAGGGATATTGAGCTTTCTTGCGAGGCTCGACGAGTCTTATATAGGCTTTGGCAATAACCCGGCAATTGGTTTGCTGTAAATTCTGGAAGACCTTTTCATAGTATTGACGGAGAAACCCTTGGTCATTGACAGATATTGTGGCCATTTGGACATCGAAGTTACGCTCCTGGGTACGGATTTTTCTTCTGAGTTGCAAATTTGCGCCTATTTTTGCCATTCTAGGAACGGTAGGCGCTAGCGATGATGTGGGCGGATTCAGAGACTTGCTGTCAGGCAGTTCTGGAGCAGGCGTTGGAAAGCCGCCTTTACTTGATCTTGCCACCGCCTTCAGAAACTTCGAGGTCAATTGAGGGGACAGAATAGTCTGGGCACTTCCGGAGATGGAAAGAGACGTCTTGTGGCGAAGATTTCCTTCTTGATCAATAAAGGTGAGGGCCTAATGCTGACCAAATTCCCTGTTGAGTTGTTGTCCCGGCACGCTGGTAATTTCCATCTAGCCAAACTTCTCCTGGAGCAGTGGCGGAGACGATAGGTTACCTTCGAACGGCAAGACCACTCGACCGTGATGTGGGCTTCGCTTCGTTGAGAGACAGCGTCCTGTTAAGGCCTTTTGCGTGCGGCAGGTTAATAATGGAGAAGTTCAGGGGCTAGCGAATAATCAAAACTTTGTGATCTATCTATTCAGCCTCGAAGCGAACCAACTGGCTGGCTTATTGAAAGTGGGAGCTGCCCCAAGAAATGCCCCAACTTGCAACAAAGATTGTCAAGCGATTTCCCTCTACAGAACGAAATTGCTGTGTCGTGCCCCCAGAAAAACGGCCAGCAAGATCCCTTGGGAATGAAAGCTACCACTACGTTTAGGTGATACAAATTCGAATAATTAAATCAGTGGCGCGATTATAGCTTCTTGGGCTCGATAGCTGCCCGAGCTCTAGCTGATGCAAGGGACCCCCTAATTTATGAGAAATCCAATGATAGTGGACATCTAACACAAATGACTACCCATGACAGAAACACACACCCTATGCCTACTGTGGTCGAAGTCTTTGTAGTACAATCAATGGGCAGAGAAGGATAGGCAAAGGAAAAAGGCTCTTACGGAATATTCTATTCACATCTTGCAGGGTTGGTCTCATCTTCAATAATACACACGGCGAGTGATAATAGTCGGCCTATGTTGCATAATGGCTCGGAAAATACCCCTTGGTAAGGACATGTTGTGAATTCTTTCCCCGTGTTTTGAACTCGCAGGGATACCATATATGCTCTCATGATAAGGACTGCCGATATCTACATACTATCAAGGCCCTGTAGGTCTATTAGCGTAAATGGCCGGCACCGTTGTGGGTAGACGCTCAGCGATGCAATGAATGAGAAATCGATGTCAGGCATGCGGCTCCGGATGACCACCAAGAGCTGAACCGGCAAAAGGGATTGATGGGAAAAGATCCCAGCATCAGTGTTTGCTTAACACTATTCAAAATTTCTGATCGTAACGAGGTAGTCTACATTAGAATATTCACAGTGACTTAGCTAAGTTCCGCATCTGTCCAGTTTTCTACTTGCTCTCCCTCCATTTGCGATGGGCTCAACCAAGCAGATCGCTGGAGAATATATTCTTAAAAACCAGCAGTGATTGCAGGGCCTCTAGAATACGATGTTTTACGCAAACCAACACCTTGACAATAGCATATTAGACAGAAATTGATGCTAGTAGAAGCAGGAAAACAAAATATCCCAACAATAAGATATCAAAAGTAGGCTGGTCGATGATTCTGCATACGGATATATCCCTACGATGTTGGGTGTCAAATATTCATCATCGAAATGAGCGATTGTCATCGTTTAGGACAAGTTAATTGATGCCGCAGAATTGGTTTTGACTAGTAGAAGTTCATGTTTATGAAAGTTGACATAATGCGTTCTTGGTGTTTTGATCTGGTAGCTGCGTCACGAACGTTGAAGCGACGTTGAAACCCTGAATAAGACTTCAGAATAGTTTTTCATCGAGATGAAAACAGGGGTTCCAATCGAACAAGTATATAATCAATCTTGAAACGGTTCAGCACGCCACGATATGAGGGCCAACTCGGTCGGACCCTCGATCGCAGCTGCGCTAGCAGCAACGCGCCCGCAGCACTATAAAAATGTCCCCCAGACCCCAGCACAACGGTCTCTTTGAAAACACGCCCCAGTTAGCCCAGCCCTAAGACATGATTAGTTGCTCTTCCACCTCGCCCGTCTTGGACTGACGCGATTGAACATCTTGAGCTTGGCCTATGTTTTGTGCCAGGACAAGAGAGCACAAAGTGGCACAGGTCTGCATCGGAAGATGGCCTGGGCTTGAACCTGCTTTCCGTGATTCGGACCGAACGTGATCTCTCATACTTGTGATTGAGCTGACGCTTGCAACATCGCCTCTAGCTTGTCTATGATCGATGGAGAACTACACCCCTGGCAGGTATGTGGATCGATGCCAGCATTTGACACCATGCTGAAAGATTCCCTGAGAATCATGCCTATTTCTAGTGTTACACGAGTCGAGTTGAAGTATGCGCCTTGTCTAGCTTTGGGAATCTTACTCAGGGTGTGAAAATAGTGATAATGTAGACCCTCCCTGTGATCTCTGCTGACTATGTCACGGGTAGATCGCGCCGAAAGCAGACTCTCATGTTGATTTTCAGAACCAGATATGATTGGTAGGATCTCATCAGTGGGGGTTTTTGATCGGTCATCTTGGGCTTACGATTCGCTAGGTTTAAGCCAATGCTTCCAGCTCAAGCTGCGCGCTGTTAGTCAATGCTCGCCGAGCCCTTCCACTGTCGACAGCAGAATCACTCGCGGTATAGTCCACCCTGGTACATTGCCATTATTATTGCCTATATTCATGGCCATGAGGTTGGATATTGGGTGAAGGTTGGGTATTTGTCCATTTTACACAGGATGAATCGCCAATGATTGTTTCTTTTGCAGGTTCACTGACAATATTGTGCCCGACGCGACTGAGCTGGGAACGACCACCAAGCTCGCACCGTCATCGACGCGGCCGGCTTGATGAACAATGAATGGAAATGACCTCGAAACGGTAATACCTTTACACCGTCGGATCCGTCGGATCACGGCCAAGGGTGTGTGGAAGCTCATCGGCTCCTTGAAAGATGTCATCCGCCATGAAACCGCAGCAATCGAAACCACCCAGAATGAACTTCAGGAACTTGTACATGGCCAGAATATTCTTCAGGAACAAAAAATGCAAACCCACGAAGAGCTGAATGCTTTGCGAGCGCAAATCGAAGCGGCAAGGCTGACTGCCAGATCCTGGGCCGAAGTGGCAACAAGGGATGACAATTCATCTCCAAAAAGTCCAAGGAGAACCGAGAGAGAAACTAACTGTAATCTAGGCGCGTCTGTGGTCGCACTGGATATAAATCTGGAAGTAGCGGAATCCGAACAAATTCAAATGGGACAGATGGACCGTTGGGCAGTTCATGTGGCAGAGCTGATAGGCATCTTCTACACCATCAATTTTGTGTTCAGACTGACCTATCAGTACGTCGGCAACGCGTTCAGACGTCCAATGAAGGCGTCGATTCTAAGTCATGGCGAGTCGGCGCTACAATCAACCCAAAATGCTAGAACTTATCAAGACAACGGATTCTTCCTGCAATTCTTTCAAGAGCCACACCAATTCAAGAGAAAAATGCTAGCTGAAGAAGATAGGATTTGCGGAGAAGCTGAGAGTGTGTTTTGAAATGCGATTCTATACGAAGAAGGTAAAGCAGGATCCGGCGAAATCGGCAGAATGGCGAGAAAGTTGGGCTTGAGTGTTGATTTGGGGGCAGGAACTGGGTTTCTGGGCTTTCGCCCCCAGACTTGGAGGCATGGACCCTTCGACCTGCGATGACCCAGAGAACGACTACTCAGGAAGCTAAGCGGCAAGGCAGGACCCACCCCTTCCGAATGTAGCTGACAAGGGAGAACGCGTACATTTGGGGAAAGATCAAGGCGGGTTTTCCTAGTTGACTTATGGTTTCTTTGATGAAAGACTCATCATAATAGAGCCCTATAACTGTGGAATAAAGAGGCGTTCTTTCTGAATTTAACTTGTCTCATTCGATGGCGACTCGGACTCTTCAGATCGAATTAGAAGTTGAATTACATTACGCCGGTCACGCTTTGGCTGGCGCGAAAGATTCCCTTCGAGTACTAAGCTATGTGATATTTCAAGCCTTCTCAACCTGCGCGCACTTCCATGAGTCTCATAGAATATGTCTGCCAGAATACTGCGTGCTAAATCCGTCGACTGCCATATAAGCAAGAGATTGTTCCCAGTGTTCACTCTCAAAAAGCCTCAAAAGAAACCTCGCGCCATAATATCTGGGTACCTCTTAGAATCCAATCAATACTAGCTACATGGGTCACACTCCGGGGAAAAAGCGTATGCAGTGAGTTTGAATTCGTCTGCGAACGCGATTGACTTCGATCTGCTCAGCTTTGAGGTGCAGTCTTAACCACCGTTTAGCACGTGGCGACGGGCGCGAGTCTGGTGTGAACTGGCCAACTGCCTGGAATCTTACTATTGTGAGCTTTTCCCCCGTCGCATCAAGTGCTGGTTGAGTTTTAATCCGTCCGCCCTCACTTCTTCGTCCACTTTTCCGACTTCGGCCCCTGCCTCGTTTCGCTGCCTTAAGTGGCAATGAGCAAAATTCGCCAGACTCATGATAGTAGGGTCGCTAAGTGATCATTCCAAAAGAACACAACGGACATTTGAAATCAGTCAAGGGCCAATATGCATCTGCCCAAATGCTTGCTCTAAGTCGCGAGCTGAGGTCACTCCGCCAGCAGTTGGATGATTTCGACCGCCTACGGCTGATCCACAATCTGGACATCTTGATAACTCCATAGCTCCCCCGCACTCGCCGATTGTAAACGGATGCCCATTCTCGCAATAACAGTCACCTCAGGCGGCATACTGAGATGCCTTAGGCTTAAGGAATCTCAGTATGCCGCCTGAGGTGACTGTTAGTTAGTACCAATGCTCCGTTCCCCGAAACTCACTTGCCATGGCATTCAAGACTGCCATGCGTTCTTCGTTGGTCACTGGCGCGTAATGTGTTGCACCGTTGAGCATAGACCTGCTACCTTAAATTTCCTGGCTTAAACCACGTGTCTGGCTAGGATGCATGTTGCAAAGCCTTTCCGACTCTTCGAGAGCGTTTCTAGCTTTTTCGCGTAAGTCTTCAGCGTGCGATGACTGTTTCGAGGTTTGTAGCTCCAAGGTGTAAAGCTGTGCAAGGAAAATATGTCCTTCAACCTGTTGGATGATGCGATGGGAAGATATTGAGTCGCTTATCAGGAGCCGACTTTCCTTTCTGTTCTCTTTCGGGTTGGCAAACAAGTCACTCTGATCCCGAACAGAGTGTACACGGCTTTTCATGAAAATGAAATCCCCCAGAAGAGCCAAGTCTAAGCGGAGCAGCAGCACAGCGGCTTGAATTTGTCCTTTAGTCTGGAGTACGCTTTCATGAAAGCCGAACTGGCCAGAAGTCGTTTTACGTCGACGTGCATTTTCGACCATATTGCGGACCTGGATGAATGGCTGCTCTTCCAGCTTCATCCTCTATTGATACTCTTTTAACCTGCAGCGAAGAGCCAGAATGCCGCTCCAATGGACTTTGGATGTTTTCTTGATCCGATAGCTCATCAGTTCGACTTGATGCGCAGAGGGTCCATCAAGCCTGGCTTGTATATTACCCCGGAACACCGCCGCAGCTAGTGCCTCGAGTCTATTGCGGTTCTGTAGCTCATAGAGTACACGGGGTAGCTCCTGGGCAAGTGGCATGTACCGTTGGTTCACATACAAAATCAGCTTCTTTGTTGCTTTATCGAGCAATGCACGTCTCACGAGTCTTCCATAGCGAGAAAGTCCTCTCAATGACCCGCGACACGTGGCACATGTCCGGATGTCCTTAATCGAAAATGGTGTTGAGGATGCAGATATCGCGGTAGGCCTTTCCAGATCGTCCAGACAATAATGCTTTCGGAGATCCATTTGACCGTCCATGCTCTCGATGGTCAAAAAGTGCCCACACTTCGGAAAGATGCAGGAGTTCTCTGTGAGATTGATCTCCTGGTATGATTCGCCTAAGATGAAGTCCACGGGGGTCTCCTTGATCTCGGCGGATGCGCATATCTGACAGTACTTCTCCGAGGGGTAAATTTCGCCGCACACGGACGGGCATTGGTGACCGCATGTCGAAACGAAACATTTTTGCAGCGTAAAGAGCATGGGATGTGATCGCAGGGCGCCGCACAAGGCATCGAGCAAGTACTATGAGGACATGATGATAGACATTGTGAGACAGCGCAAGGTGCACATGACTCAGAGCATTGCTGTGGGCATTTAGAGTGGCCACACTCTACACCACGAGGTGATGTACATGCAGGGCATGCGTCTTGTCCATGGCATTCGAAGCTACAGGCATGAGAACAGGTGGAGAATGGTCTTCCGCACTTTTGTGTACAGGCTCCATGTTCAATTTCCTGACCTTTGGGTACTCTCATGGCACAGCAGGAGCGCCTGCAGTTATGTCCACATGCCAACACGACCTAGCAAGTTTCTTCGCATATATACGCGTCACTATCAACATCTGTATGGCAGGCGACAATAACAGTATGATTACAGCGCGGAACCTGCTTTTTTTACAAGTATGGGGCACTGGACGAGATCGGGATTTTGAGCTTGCCAACATGGAAGAGTGGCCATCGAGTGTCCGCATGGAAGAATTCGTTTTGTATCATGAACGGGGATATTACACCTTTTTGGGCAAGGGTCACCACCGCGTTTTGGGCAAGAATGTGTGCAGCCCTTTAGTGATCGAGGACAAGTTTCCGAGCAATAGACAACCTTGTGAAGTAACTCCGAATGACATTTTTGCTTGCAGGGATGACCGCATTGAAGGCGCCTGTCGCATTGGAGACTGCATCCCCCTTCAGGTGAGAGTTGCAGGAAGTGCTCTGGCTCTATGATGGAAATTGAAGTCTCGGGATGGCGAGGACAATTCAGTTCCAATTGGAAACCCAAAAGCCCATCTTGTTCCAAGATACCGAGGACCTTCCCCCCATGTCAACGAATGTGGGAGAGCGACCTTCGATCGGGAAACGCCGAAAGGCCATGACGAAGTTGACTGACCTACTCTGATATTGCCCGGTCGCTGTTCATGGTGCTACTCATTGGAAAATATATTGAAAGCTCCATTTACTTATATGGGCTTGTGCAGGCGGCTTAATATCGCTGGAGCTGCTCTCGAAGCTGACTGGCCTTGTTAAATTGTCTAGAAAGATTTGCTCAACAGACTTGGCTTCAGTCTCTGACACTTCGGCTTTGTGCATTGGTGCAATACTTTCCGTAAAGTCATTGCCAACACAGTCGCATTCCAAATTTTGAAATGGCATTGCTTTCGTATCGGGTTCAACTGCATATGACGGAACGTAGATGTTGGACAGAGTCGCCTTGCAGGATAGAACAGTGATGGGTGTTTCGATGATTAGGAGCTGGAAAGCGTTCTGCTTTTTTGCTGCTGTCCCATCCCTATCTTCCTTGGAAAGACAGAAGACGATCTGTACGAGAGTTAGCCATATTGTATAGATTGCTCAGTCTTCAAGGCAGAGGGTAGCTGAGCAGGTTTCGGGGATCCTTACCTGGATCCAGTGGTTCACATCAGGTTTACCTGCTTTGGTGCTTGTATGAAGTCGTTGCCACTGCGGTATTTCTTTCAATTCAGGGCATCTGGGCAATTGCACCTGTAATTCAATTTCACGTGTTTCCAGTACGTCCCCGAGCAGATTCCAAGTTTGCGTATCTGTCGGTCGTATTTTGTCCCGGTCTGAAGTGATCCGGATTTTGCTGCCAGGATAGGTGCTTCTATATTCATTCCCCGCCTGCTTTTCAAACAGAAGCACTTTTCTTTTACCCAGCTGTAATACGCGAGTTTCCCGTCCCATTTTCCAGTACTGCATTTGCTGAGACACATATACTTTCAGCCACCAACATTTTAGGTCGATGAAAGGAGTCAGTTTCAACCTTATTGGTATCCGGGAGCCTAAAGGGAAGCTTCTGCCGAGGAAACAAACATCATAGTGAAGCTGCTCACGCCAGTCCTTAGAGATAATAATTGACTCAGTTAGTTCCAGTGAGTTTTCTGAAGGCAATCGAAGGAGCGGGATATCCAGTTGTGAACGCATTTGTGAACGGAAAATTCCAGGGAATTCGATTTTAGCTTCGAGGTAGTAACGAACAGATACAAGCCCAGTGCTGATAGTTTCAAGAAATGAGTCGTGCACGAGAAACTCGAAAGGGTAGATATAACCGCCAGCAGGAAACATCGTATAATGGCCTTTCGGGCGACTGTTGTTGGTATGTTGGGGGCTTTCGCTACAAGGGCGCGGAAGCCCAGACCGATCTAAGCTGCCTGAATAATACTCGGGAGGTAAAAGTTGCTCAACCTGCAATGCTAGAGCGTTGATTTTGACAATCTGACCAATCTCTTGAGCCGATATAGACTTCTCGCACAAGTTGTGATAGCCGCTGTCTTGTAATGTCGCATGCCCGTTCTCAAAGTAGGTAATACCACATGTGATCAGATCCTGTCTTCTAGTACTTCCTAGTGAATGCATAGAATGATGAGTTAGCCACATAAAAAAACATTGGTGGTGCCACAATAGCGCTCAAGACAGGTAAAAGACGTACCCCCCAACGGCTGGAACCTAGCAAGACCATGGAAGGAGACGCATATGCTCTTAATTTTGGTCGGCTTGGTGACCTCAAGATGGAGATAACCCCGAGAGACTGCCGGCTGATTCTTGGAATGGCGATCGGGCTTTCCGTCTCCTTGCAAGTATATGACAGGCTCGAGCAGTATGAAGCTCAGTTTCAGGCCCCCTCGAATACCCACAACATGGCTCGAGGAATGGCAGCGACCGATTGGAGCTTCCAATGACTGCATCACGCACTTCTCTCGAGTAGCAAATCCTGCGACCGAATCAGACCCATTTCTACAATATCATATATAGGCACGTTACTTCGGTTCGATGTACAGCCACCGCTGAAGTTGGTTCTAGCAGAACAGGCGACTGATAGTTCTGGACCGATCGCAGTTGGCGATGAATTAAGAGCAAAAGGTGATGTGAGAAAGCTAACTATCACAGTGGCTAATGATCCCGCTATTTATGATGTTACAAGACTTGATAGTAGGTGCGCTTGACAGCTGATGATAAGTACTAAACGGCTCTAAATCACTTCGGCCGTCGGCGCGGGATAGAAGAATGCTCATTCTAATTCACGGATCGATGACCCTCATTGGAATTGGACTATCTCTCGGTGGCAATATGTTCGAGCTCCGAGCAATGTGTTTCCCGTCCTATCTACCGGGGTTTCGAAAGGCCTGGGCCAGAATTACCCTATGGCGCAGCATAATGTGACCGGGGGCGGATCGCGCCAAGTTTAGGTACTGTGTGGTTCGTACCACTAGCTCATGATTATCTCCAAGTGTAATTATTTCAACGTAAGGGTAGATGGAGAAGTTCCCATAGCTAGCGTCATGGTAAGATAGAACCATGGGTAGAGAGCTGTCCCCTGCCAGATATTCCCCGCCGGCCGGGCAATAGTATCCAGACTATTGGACGGTAAGTCGTCAGTCAATCGGGCGAATCTAACTCTCGGATATCCTTCGTAATCCGATTCATCCCAATATTAGAAAACTAGACCATAGATTAGATGATTCGAAGAGAGTAGCCTAGAGCTATCGCACCTAATTTATAGCGTTCAGCACAGGTATGGATATGAGAATGTCACTGTCTGCTCGCCAATTGAAGAGCAGACCGCACACCATGAAACATGAGGAACGGATGGGTTTCGTATTCGAATGGCCAGGCCGGGAATGGCATGGAGGCGCGGTCTCCCAAGCTATCAAACTGCACGCCCTCTGCCCTCTCAATTCGCTCAACTGGCTCTTCAAGCGCCGAATTATTTAGCACCGAGGAGCCCTAAATACCACCAAGATGGATTCATTTACGCACTGCGCGCTATGTCCAATCTGCTGGAGAGAAGAGGGAAAGAAAAGGTATAACAGACAGCAAGGTATCACGTACAGCACTGGCAGATGTCAAGCTTATGATAACTTGATGGGGTGGAGCACCGGAACATACTTGCAATCTTTCACTCACATCCTGCTGCCATTCAGGATGTAGTCGATTTTGGGGCAGTCTATACTATGCTCAGTACTCCAATGCCGAAGTCTAAACTCATTACCTAGTGTACAAGGATGCTAAAAGGCGCTGGACGGCACCAATGTATACCTCAACCATGGTCGATCGAGCCGCTCGGGGCCTCTGGACCTCCCAATTTCGATCGTGGGCATAGACAAGGGCTAGGGATCGTGAATTAGCACCAATACAGACAAATTCGCACGAGATTCCACAAATCCTCCATACCAGTGGGCAGCGCATGGATCCTCTGTAGGGTCGTCAATGAACAGACTGATGGTGCCATTCTGTATTTATCCATTGTCAGTAGTTCGAGTGGTAGTTGCCCATCCCGGACCCTGCATTATGGTGTGGCATCATTCACTACTTCTATCTCTATTTCTAATTCCACTACGTCCGTCTGATCTGTGAATCCCACGAATTAACTCAATTATTCTTGCTCTGCTGTACCCACGAGAATCATGACCTTCACACATCTTCTATTTCGCAGATAGTCGCGAGAAGCTTAGCAGAGAAGGCTTGCAAACCCTATCACAACCTACGTGTGGTGATCGGTCATGCCAATTGCTCCATTCACTGATAATCAACTTTCCGAACACGGCGGAGGAACAATAGTGCTGGTATACTAGGACCTTTACTAGTGTTATCGAAAATTACAGCACGCATCCAATAAAGAGAGGTATTAGCTGAGTGTAACCTGGAGTTCCAGCCGAGGAATTTGAGCAAAGAGCAAGAATGCGTCTATCAAAACCTAGCAATTGATCAGGTGCTTTTGGAAAATACAAAGGAAGCCGATTATCTCTTCCTCAAAGAAGTTTTAAATCTCTACGGCGCCATGTTAGCTTTCAACGTTCGCTCCGTATCCCTCTTCAATCAAAAGGGAGTGAGATCACTACCTCTCAATCCCACTGGTGATTTTGGCATATGAAGTAAAATGCGAAAACTAGTCCTTGGTCAAGAGTTGGTCAAGAGTTGTGATATCAAACAACCATCTCTTTGTGTATCACGCTCAGCTACTACAGGGTC